AAACCATCGCACAAAGGCCGTTTATTCTCGAAGAAAGGCTTGTAAACCGATAATTTGAAAGAAAGCAAGGAGAGGGCGAGAGAGCGGAGAACGCGGAGTGGAAGGGCGGGAGGGAGCGAGAGAAACAGCGAGAGAAAACTGTAGAGCAAACGTGAGAATGAGAGAGGCATACAGACAGAGACACACACGCGCGTGCGCACCAACACACACACACACACACACACACACACACACACACACACACACACACACACACACACACACACACACACCACACTCAAACGCACGCGCGCTCGCGTACGCGCTCCCGTGTGCAGCGTGACATTTGCATTCTCATAATAAAATTGTTTGCGTATGCGTACGCCTCTCTCCCAGCTGCGCGAGCGAAAGCATTGTATAGGTATTCGTGCGTTTCTACCATGTACTGATCGGTTAACCACAGAAGTCTATCTACATGATTACCGCTAGTGCTGTCATAGCGAGCACTCACCGGCCACGTGAAGGAGAACGGAAACCGAAACGGATTCGGAAATCCGACGTATTCCTTCGTGAAGTTGTAACCCTGCGAGTAGCCGAGCACGGGCGTCGATCCGCTGCCGAACGTGCATTTCGTGTCCTGGTCCATCCGCGCCTTATAGTGCGATATGCAGACGCGAAAGTAGGTGCGACACCATCCCGTACAGGCGCCACCCTGGGTCCGCTCGCCGGAGCAACACGCTCCGGACTGGTCCAGCTTGTTCGGATTGTTGAATGCCAGCAGCTTCAGCTCGAATACTCCGGACGTTTCGACCTGTGACAAACGCGACGGGATGCTAATGATTGTAGCTAATTGCTATTGCCTCGATCGCCGTCTTCTTTTTACAAAATATACGGTTTACCCGTGAGACTAGAATATAGTAGTAGTATAAAAAAAAGTTAACTGCGTGGGAATAGATCCGGTTATCTTAAAACGGAAATAAAACGTAAAATCCTAAACATATATATATTAACCTAATATTTTAAACGAATTTTCAAGCTGCGATGCTCCGTCAATTAATGATGTGTTTGGGATTATCTGATGCAATATCCGTGTAGTGTGTGTGTAATGTTTTAGGAAACACTAACTCTTGGATTTATGATCACGCGCATATTTCTATATTTTTCCATGGGGTATTTATGCACACTGGATCATATCACAGTTTTATTGTTTCCGTCCTCAGCCTTCTTCTTCAGCATACTCGGGTTCTGGGTACCATGCCGAAAAATGCGTGTATAAACCTATACTTTACAATATATGGTAGCTCCAACTCGTTGAGATAATCGTATGGAGCAAAATACAACATAGTTCATTATACTTAATTACCTTAGGTTATCCTATAAGAAATTCATAGTATTATATCTATCTATATATATATATATATATATATATATATATATATATATATATATATACTCGAGGTATAGATACGTACTTGCGTATTAAGTAGGGTCTTGGCGTATAACTCTGCTAGTACCGACAAGGCGTATGTA